AGGAAGTGAGTTACCGGCAGGATCACCAGGTACAAAAAAAAAGGGAAAAATCCTGAAAACAGAAAAGGAATGCGGCCGCCACATCTAAGGACTGGGATGCAGCACTGTTCCATTTCTGGTTTGGGGTGTAGATGCCCTTTAAGACCGGTACTCCTCAGGGGCGGGACTTATGATACTCAAGGTGAAACATTGGTGAAAAAACAGCAACATTGTTAAAAGTACTAGCAGAAATAAAGTACAAAAGGTAGAAGTGCACGAGGGAGCTTTTGGGGTCCCTCCGAAGAGGGAGGGCCACAAATCAATGAAACCCCCCCCCCTTCCCAGGATGCAAGGCTCCTGACGGGGGTACATATCCCCCCCCTGACGCCCCCTTCACCACCCAGATGCCCCACTGCTGCCCCCACACCAATGAACATCGGAGTTCATTTCAGGAAAATGGCGTCAGGAGTGGAAGCCACGCCCACAAGACGCATCAAAAACACTCGGAGTAATGACAGCGCGAGATACTTCACATCAACATCTCCGAGGGAGAGAAAATGTTCTCCTGATAACCAGCGCCAAGGAGCACCGAGGTCCGATGCAGTCACCAGGAGACGGAGCGATTAAAGGAACATTCCCACATTTCACATTCCGGAAGGATCGCCGGGACACATTGTAACGTTCTCAAAGAAAAAAGATACTTTGTTGTAACACCAATACGAGCAGTGGCGTCACAAGGGGGGTGCGGCGCGCACCCCGTTGTCACCATCGCACCCTGTTGTCACCTGACAGTCATTTTGGTGTCACCCCCCTCTAAAAGGTCAGGCGATTGGTCATGGACAACCACAGCAGTGGCGTCACAAGGGGGGTGCGTCCTGCACCAGGGTGACACCATTGGAGGGGTGACACCATTGGACTGACAGTCATTTTGGTGTCACCGCCTCTAAAAAGTCATGCAATCGGTCATGGACCGAGATCCCGACAGTGTCAGGAAAGAGGAGGGGACCCCGCGGCATACCTTATCCTGCCGGGTGACTGTCCCGTCATAACACCAAGATGGCCGCCAGCAGGTGTCCTGAATACGAGGTCTGTGTCGTGGGCTTTGGGCTTGTGTTGGTGCCAGACACGTGCGATTGGTTCCGTTTCCGAATCGAAATCTGGACGAATTTTCCAAAACAAGAACATTCGGACACATCCGAATTACCGAGTCCCAAGGCACCCGCATGCGTCCCAATATCCGTTTACGAATTCCGGATCCCGCCCAAATTTCGTTAAAAAACTAAACTGAATCGGACATGTGACTTTTCCGGCCAATCAGATGTGTTCTTCGGTTTAATGCCTCCGAATGGGTCTGAACGCGGATTTTTCCGGCCAATCAGATGTGTTCTTCGGTTTAATGCCTCCGAATGGGTCCGAACGCGGCAACATGGGCGCCATATACAAGTGAAATCCCATTATTTCCTCATGGGCATGGTTCCCACCTGGGCGTATTTCAGCGCAGTCGAAAACGCTCTGAAAATTGACCAAACAAGTACAGGAGCTTCTTTGGGGCGTATTTCCGCGCGTATCCATTAGGATAAAGCCGGATGGCTCTCGCAAACGCGCGTTTTTCGTGGAACGCAAATCACAGTAAAAACGTGGAATTCAGCCTGCAATGTAAACAACTAGCGATGGCGTTCGGGCATCTGTAGAGACGCCCGATCGCTTGTAATATGCGCGTGGGTGTGCGCCCCCTCTCCGCCGCAGCCGCTGCTGGCAATCCCGGGCTCCGCTGTGCCCGGTGCGAGCCCGGGACCAGCACGGCAGCTCTGCGGCCGGAGATCAAACGGAGCTCAGTACACGACCTCCCTCTGATCCCCTCCTCTTCGGAATGCAGGAAGTGATGTGTATGACATCACTTCCTGCATTCGGTGTCACTCTCCGGTACAGAAACCGGAGAGAAGCTGGTGAAGCAGGTGTTCGCTTCATCAGCTTCTCTGGGGGGTCCCTAGGTGACATTAGGGGTCTTAAAGACCCCCGATGTCTCCATAAAGAGGACCTGTCACTGAAAATTGGCTATCACAAAGAGGGCTTGTTAGTCCCCCTATGTGATAGCAATAAAGTTAAGTGGAAAAAAAAATGTTTAAAAGAATTAGTTACAAAAAAATATATAAAATAAATTAAAAGCCACATATAAAAGGTAATAAAAAAAAATGTAAACATTTTTTTTAAGTCCCCCGCCCCCCACATAAACATGCAAACAGGCGTCGAGTGCGCCTAAGTGCGTAAACGACGATCGCATCCATTACGCCGCACATGTTACGTATCGCCGCGAACGTCGCAGTGAGAGCAATAATTCTAGGGCCATTAATCACCGATAACACTAAACTGATGAGCGGTAAAAACACTGGCACTAAAGTTTTAAACAAGTGGCTGCCTGAGGTCCCGCGCTTACAGGGGACCTCGGCAGCCTTCCTGTTAACCATGCGGTGCCATGGCGGTTGGTGGGGGGCGGTTTCCTGCACTGGGGCCCTGAAGGTTCTAGTTACTCCTCTGCAGAGGATCCTCCATCAGCCGTGATCGCTCCTTTACTCCTCGCTGTCTTTTATGTCCGTTACATAGTTATTGTTACTTTGTATAAATAACTAACCGCAAATAGTGTAATAACAATAGTTATACCTCCGCGTCACCGCAAGATGGCGCTCGAATCCCGGCCGCGGCCCCATAAGTCTTGGTCTACGGAGGCTCCCTGTGTTGCGGAGGGTGCTCTGCCTCCCTCTGCCGGCGGAGTGCGGGAAGTGCACAGTGTAGACGCTCTTCCGGTGGTGACACATTAAATTCACGACTGGCGGGAAGCGGAGAGGATCTACGGGCACCGGGAGAGGGTGAGAGCTGTCCCGGGGGGGGGGAGAGAATGTCAGCGTTCAATAATGGGGAACCAGCTGATCAAACTTAAATCCCCAGCTGGGAGAGCGCCCAGGGCATGCTGGGAGTGTTGGTGCCCCTGCGGCTGGAGAGTTCAAATCTCAGACGTGCAAGGCATCCTGGGACTTGTAGTTGGAAGTATTGCATGTTGTGGCTTGTGCTGCATGCTGGGACTTGTAGTGTGTTTCTGGGACTTGTAGTGTGTTTCTGGGCATGCTGGGACTTGTAGTGTGTTTCTGGGCATGCTGGCACTTGTAGTGAATCTGGTCTGCGTGCTGGGGCTAGTAGTTGATTTGCATGGCATGCTGGGATTTGTAGTTGATTTGCATGGCATGCTGGAACCCGTAGTGTGTGCTGGAGCTTATTTGGATCCAACCTTCTCAGTCCCCAGTATCTGAGGGAAGGGGGGGTCCCCTTGGTGTCAGAGCAGTGGGTCTCAGAGGGGAAGGGGGATCCCCCTAGGCGTCAGAGGGAAGGGGGATCCCCCTAGGCGTCAGAGGGAAGGGGGGTGCCCCTTGGCGTCAGAGGGATGGGGGTCTCAGAGGGGAAGGGGGGTCCCCCTAGGCTTCAGAGGGGAAGGGGGGTCCCCCTAGGCTTCAGAGGGAAGGGGGGTCCCCCTTGGCTTCAGAGGGTTGGGGTCTCCCTGT